GGAACAGGCTGCCCAGGGAAGTGGTTGAGCTCTGGACTCTGGAAGTATTTAAAAGACATGTGGATGAGGCACTTAGGTTTAGTGAGCATGGTGCTGTTGGGTTGACGGTTGGACTCGATGATCCTAGAGGTGTTTTCCAACCTTAATGATTCTATGATTCTATGATCCCATGATTATCAGAAATGAGACTGAGATGTGAGAGAGCGTTCAGATTTTCTAGTTTGGACTTTCTGCCTATGGTGCAGAAACTGAAGAGCTAAAACAGACAAAGAAACTAGGTAAATGAAAACAACTAGGTAGAAGAAAACGAGTAGTTGGGAAAGCTCTCTAGGATGATTAAGAAGAATGTCCAGTAAGCTCTGTGACATCCTACTAGACCCTTCCAAGGGCATTTCTAAGATTCTGCTACCCTTCAAAGAGAATACTAAGGACCATCTTGAGGCTCTTCTTAGAGCCGAAGGTTTCTTGGACATAAGACATGAAGATTCACCTACCAAGAGGAAGGTAGGTAGAAGACATGAGAAGAACAGCATGATGAACAGAGCCTGGTAGTAAGGATGTGGCAGCTAACTTTGGGTATGACAACAATGACAGGACAGGGCATGTTCCAAAGCAGTGTATGCTTCTCTTTAAACAGAGGGAAGGAAACTCGGAGCATCTCAGACATAGATGGTCCCAGCAGCAGACCTTCAAACAAGGTCTACAGAAGGACTACACTGTAAAACTGCTACACTGAATAAAGTAATTCTGGCAAGGTGGTCCTTAAACTGGTGCATCCTCAACTCTGAAAAGAAACTGCTATCTAGCAGGGTAACTGAGCACTAAGGGTCCAAACCTCAAGAAGGAGTCATGAAAGTCAAGTTGGAAAGGGCTGTTCCAGTATCTGGAGTGTGGTGATGACTGGTGGCAAGGTTAAGGTTTACCTACTTTTCCAGAGAGTTTAGGAAGGGAAAAGGCTGTTAGAAGATGGTCTGTCTGCTCTAACTCCACTTGTTTCTGTGGTGACATCAAGATCAGTGTTCTTGGTACCAAGCAGTGGACAGAAGAACAATGGCAGTTAGACCTCCTCTTCAACAGCAATTCAGCTTAGCTACCAGCTCTCCAGTATGCGCAGAACAGCACCGCAAACCAACATGGTATGTTACAGATTAGAAAAGACTCAAGTGACAAGGATTTACAGACCACTGTTGATGTAATTAGTCATTATTCTGAATTGGCACTGGAAATATTTTAGTTCACATTTTAAAAATAAAACAACAAAAGTTCCATACCCTAGCAAGTTTCAGAATAACAATTCAAGTACAAATCCAGTTTTGGGGTACAGGGAGAGAGATGGACAGGGCTCAGTGAAATTTTTAGTTCAGGCTAACTGAACTCCCTAATAGTGGCCCAGGTTTGCTAGAAGAAAAAGAAAAAACAGTTGTCATGAAAGCTCACAAGCTATGTATGTTTTAAAAATGACAAACAGATCGCATATGCACATGCTTAATTATGGACTATGCATTATTATGAGACAAAATATATTATTTTAAAACCCTGCCTCTGTGTTTTCAAACTCCTGCTTTAGGAAGAGCACTGGCTGGAGCCTGTGTTTTTTCAGAATATCAATTTAAATGTAAAATCACATGTTGCAGTTAGCTTTTTCTTGCATTGATCATCTACTGTTTTCTAATGCTTAAAGAACACTTGGTATAATCACAGCTATTAACTGGGCATGAAATGATAATGTAATTTTATTTTACTCAGTTACATAGAAAGGAAAAGCAACTGATTTAACAACTATGCTATTATTTCTATAATTTCTAAAGATTAAAAAAAAATACAGTGTAAAAAGCTAACGTATTAAAAAAAAATGTACAAAACTGCAAGAAGTAATTCCAGCTCTGATAGCAGTTGCCTGCAGCAACTTTCTCATTTCTTCTGTTTCATATGAAAAAGAAATCAATGAAGCGGAGCATGAGATAAGTTTGGGATTTGTTTGCTTAAGATTGGCACAGAATGAGATTAATCAGTAAAGTTAACAGATTAAAAAACTAAGCAAGTACACGTTCTAATGCTCATGGCTCTCTTGGTTACAGAATTAGACAACCATCATTTTCTCTGATTGCATTTACAAGACTATCAATAAATAAAGAACCTGATTTATTTCCAGCTAAATGTCATTACAATTGCTTTCATTTTTTTAACATTTAAACCAGCAACTTACCCTGGTGAATAGTTGCAAACAAAATTTGCTGCATTTCGTATTCCTGAAACTTCCTTACAAAGAGTAACAGCACAGCCAATTTTGTATGAATAGTCCCAAATGACCTAAAAAACCATGGTTTTAAAATAAATTAAAAACGACACTCAACAGTTACCTAGTCTAATATCTAGAAAGTTTCTGTTATTTTCAGGGATTCTACATATTATTTTCATTTTGCAACATCTTATCTGTTTATTAATTTAAAAAAATTGCTGGTAAGTGAGCTTTTTAAGGTGAACTTCTAAATATTCACCCCTCAAGATGAAGTGACCTATGCTGCAAGTTTCCACAATCTTCTACAGAACAATTTCAGTAAGAGTTTATGATCCAGGGGTAAATTCCAGGGAACAAAAGTGAAATTAGTAGCAACTACCCAACAGCTCCTTTAATTAATTTCAACATTCATAACTCAGGACTGCAAGAAGGGCTTCTCCTGTGTGCTAGAAGTAGTCTGGCTGATTACTGCTGTAAACTTAAGTCTGAAAGCACTGCACATTTTCAGACTAACCAGTGTTATCTGCCATACTTAGGAGAAGATGATTTACTATCACAGTTTGAGCATCCTCTGCTTTTTCTTGGTGATTCTTCCTATACTTTCTGCATACAACTAACGAAACTGTACTGAATTCAGGTAAAAATGTTTAACTATATACCTAGAACATCTGGATGATCATACATACTGCATCTGGAAAACTTAAAGACATAGTGGATTACTCTCAGTATCTCCCCAGTATGAAGAGTACAGGCCTCAGAGTGACAAACTTATTTGAACATCCCCAAAAGTTCCATCTCTTCAACTGTAACTGCAAGAAGCGGTTATTTTCAGAAGACATAACCTTTCTTAGAAAAGGATCTTGAAGTTTAATGTGGTGTTATCCAAATCCTCAAATAAGGACTAAGCCTTTCAGGGACTTTTATGTAAGAGTTTCATGTGTTTTTTGGAGATTTCCACCGTTTTGAGATTTCTGTGCCATGCTTCTCTTAGCAGGTCTACGCAGCCTATCCACTTACGATTTGTAAATTTTACCCCTTTTCAATTTCGTGTCTGAGCCTTCAGGACCACGATGGCTCCTGGATCATGCAGGGTCTTTGCTCATCAACTTCGAAGAAATACGTACTTCTACATGTTCATTGGTGTTTAGCCCATGTACTCTTGCCATTTTTTTCCAGTGATTAGTTTCCTTTGTAATCCTGCCTGTAATACTGCCTGAAATGCATGAACATTTTGATACAACTTAACTATGTGTAACAAGAAAGAAGCAAGCATGCTTAATCAGGGGAAAGAAAGCCTAGAAGTGAACATCACTCCAAGAGAAACGTGCAAAAACCTCCAGAATTCTATGTAGGCAAGATTGAACAGCAAATTTTAAGATGCTAGGAACTACCTTGTTATGTAACTTTTTATAATTTATTATGCCAGAGAAAAAACGAAAAATACTTTCCTGAGATATTGTCTAGTTCTAATCTTCCAAATATTTATTGCCCAATAAACAGCAAAACTTAAATCCTCCAGTCTTGCTTTTGAGTTTGTTACAGGCAGAACCAGGGGCAGGAAACATGAATTAACACTTGAGGAGAAATAAGTCAGAAAAGACATACAGAAAAGACATAAAAAGAAGTGCAAAAATGCCCAAACAGAAAATGCTTTTTAAATGATTCTGGTAACTCGAAGAATTTTCATTTCACGATCCAAAGTCCACTCAAAAAGAACCTCTCAGCTACTGTTGTCTCTGGTAACAGTTTCTCTGTAAGTATACTGCACAGTATTTTCATCTGTAGTTTGCACAGGGAGCAGTCTGAGCATCTTTGAATACTGAGATAAGAAATTAAAGAGTCACTTTTACTAGGTAAGATCTAACTTGACATTAAAATTATCTTCAGTTTTAGATCAGTGAAATATTATGTGTTGTGTCATAGATGAAACATTCTACTGGAAAGCTTATTTTTTAAACATGGGAAAGAATAAATCCAGTTAAAATAAGAAGTGTTCAAAGAAATGCTTTACTTTCTCAGCCGAATTAAGTTTGTCAGAATTACCACTGAGAAATAAGAAATATATCATTGTCATGGTTTAACCTCAGCCGGCAACTGAGCACCGCACAGCCGCTCGTTCACTTT